TGTTTGCGACGTCCACACCAGGATAAACTGTCCTGGCAAATCGAAACTACGACACTGAAATACCTTACACAGAAAACCGCGAATATCAATAATATATATGTTTCTGCTTGTACTCTTATATATTAATCATAAACTTTTTTCGCAGAAAAATTAAATACGTAGTTAATTATAATATACTATAAAGGGGAAAATATAATTTATCGATATAACCTTTTTTTCAAATTTTTGCCAATATCAGAGTGGACACATTAAATCTTCCAAGCATGAAAAATTTTGGCAATACTCAGAACTAAAAAAACATAATTTATATGGCCGAAAGGCTATGAAACAACTCTCGTTGCTTTTATTTGTTCAAAGCCTCGGGAAATAATGGTCGGAATGTGAATTTAAATTACATTCGCAGCTAAAATGATGCAACATTCCGGAGGAAAATCATGATGTTATAAAAAAATGCCAAAATTGGTGTTTTTCCAAAATAAGATCCAAGTTGGTAAGGCTTGTTGGGTTGTTTTCCGTAACGAACTTTATGAGCCTCATAGCCACGATACCCTTAGCCAGGAAAAGCGGCGAATGACAACAGCAACACTACCATCGATGTCCTGCTCCTGACCCGCCTCCCTGGCCGCCCCTCCCCCTTGTCCGGAGTGTCGACAATGTTGCTTCAAAAATATTGCCACCGCAGCACATTTCATGTTTGTTGTAGCCGGGCTCTGCTGTTTCTGCTCCTCTGCTCTTCTGCCGCTGCGTGCATTTATAAATTATGCTGAACATGTAAAGTGCCATTTTGAATATGAAATTTGATGCTTTTTTAAGCCCACCAGCCTGACCAGCAAAGGAGCCAAGGGAGCAAAGGAACAGCCCCGTTCCGCCGGAAAACGATGGTCGCCGTCGACTGCAGGCGACACATCCTTTGTTGACTCCGGAATATTTTATGAGCGAGCTGAAACTGTTTTCTCATATTTTAATTACTTGCAGAATGCAGTGGACATTTTTCTCCATTGCCCCGCGTGTCTAATTTGGCCTCATCCATGTCCATATTATTTTGCTGCCCGGGGAGGAACCCCATTTGTACTCATTTCGTGCAGCGAATTATGGGGTTCGGGGGGCCAGCTGCAGCTAATGGTGAGTCATGGCTGCAATTGCTCTTAAGCCAAATTGCATTTTGGCCTACTCACTCCCTGGTGGGCGACAACACAAAAATTACTTTCAGAAAAAAGCGAAAAGGTCAGAAAATCAATCGGCCGGCCCGCCCAAAGCAACTAATTCATTTAAATCTAGCAAAATCTGAGAAAATCCCTGGCAACGACCTTCGGGATTTTAAGAGATTTCACGAATGTCAACCGAACGCTTCAACGCCAAAGGCGAAAGCATCTCGCTGGAGATGGGAGCGGACAGCCGGATGGTTGGATGGTTGGATGCCGGACACGGGCAGGAATCCGGCCGGAGAGCCCCGCCCCGCCTCCGACCCCCTGAAATTCTGGGCCATGCTAAGCTAAGCAAGCAAATCACCCAGTCGCGCAACCCGTGTGAGCTTTTGGCTAAAATAGTTGGCAACACCACATTAAACAATGGTGGCCCACAGGCGGAGCGAAAGAGACGGGGCATGCGTATAGAAAGAGAGGGAGCATGTGAGCAGAAAGAGAGGTGGCTAGCTAGCTGGCTGTGCGTGCGTGAGAAAATGAGGCAACATCAAAAGTCGCAAAACTTTAGCAATTTGAAGCTAATATGTTGACAATCTAGCCAAGGGAAAGGAGCGTGGAAAGGAGCGGGGAAAGGACGAGGACGAGGACCAGTGGCGCCATCTATGGTTATGTGTATTTAAGTCACTGCCAAAGCCACGCGAAAATGGAGGGGTAGGGGGAAATACGGAGGAATAGGACCTGCTAGTGATGAGATTCACTTTCCACGACTACTGGAAAACTATAAGCAGTGATAGTGACCCAAAGGATATCTATTCAAAATTATATCCTGTGATGTTTGTTTCTTTTTGTTTTGGTCAGGAAATGTTCCTATAATGTAAATATTATTGTGATTATAAAAATACTAGTATTATAATTGTAATAATAACAAGAAATTTGAGTATTTCAATATAAATTACCGATCAATAATTATAATTTTAAACGGTTTTTTGCCTGATATATAAATTTCGTTTATATTTTATGTTTTAAGACGATCTTTCCCATGTTCACCTCTAGCCTGCAATATTTTATTGATAAATTTCTGCTACTGAATGTGTGCTGCTGATTTTTCTTATGCTCGTAGAAGGAACACAAAGCTCCCAAAGAGGGGGCGGAACGGAGGGGGCGTGGCCGGCAGAGGAATCCGGGGACAACTCGTAAAAAGTGGATTTTACTGCTTAACTCGGGCACATCAAATGAAACAAATGGAAAACGCACACAGGGCCAACTGGAGTCACGAGCGGAAAATGCAGAAAATGCGGAAAAATCGGAAGGCGGGGAGCGAACGAACGAGCTTTCCATATAAATTCGCCCCGTCTTTTTTTGCATAAATAAAATAAAATGCAATATTTTCCGCTGCATTTCCGCTGTGGCAGTTGCAGTCGGGCCAAATCCCTCGCACAAAAGTCAGCAATCAAAACAGATTAAAATATGATTTGACAGCTCCGCAAACAAATATAAATGCAGGCAGCAATGCCATATAGATATTCATATCGCGTTCGGCATTCACTTGCAAGTTTCAGCCGATTTCAGTTGGCATTTCGATATTGTTTCCATATTTAACTAGAGCCCCCGTCAGGACTCCGGGATCAGGATATATCTTTCTGCGACGTAAGCCCACGATTGTGCGCTGGCATTTTTATCAAAGCGTCGCCGCTGCCTGCAGCCTATTAAAAATTTAAATCAATTTTCAATATGGATTCCGCATATCCTCCGATATCTTTGGCTGACACTTTTGTTTTATTATTACAAAGCCCCCTTCCCCCCCCAAAAGCCCAATCCATAGCCAATTGCGCGTTAAGTTCCTATCGCATTTCTGAACTGTCACCGTTTGTATCTCTCGTATCTTGGCAATGAATGGCGATATTCGCGGCTTTGCCCGCTTTATGTTTTATGCACCCACCTCCGCTCCGATTGCGATTCCCATTTCCACTCACCTGGTGGCCGAAAGCCAGGTGATTGCAATTATCAGTTAATAAGGACGACTAACTGACCCCAAGCAGATTTGCTGCAATTAGCCAGGCCGCAGGCTCTCGTTCGCAGGAGTGCGTACATAAGTCGCCAAAGCCCGAAATGCCGGGCAATAATTAAATTATCATTAACGATGTCGGTTTAGCAGGGTCACATGGACATTAGTTAAGCGGGGTAAATGCGGGGGACTTTATAAGCCCACTAATAGTAAAGGCTAGAAGGGTAACAATCCTATTTAGGATTTATAATGGGCTCACACAAATTTGTATGATCTTGTATGAACTTGTATATTATCAGCAATATAAAGAAACCAACTTGAAAAATATTTGTAAAAATATTAAGAAATACTTATATCTTTACCAAAGGTGTCATCTTAATAATAATTTTCTAAATATTTTTCTGCTTTCAGTTTTAAAATTGACAAACAACATGATAAAATAAGAATTCATAATGAACTAAGTTACAATATTGAAATTAGCAAGAAAAATAAAAAAAAAGCACAACAACTCTCTCTAAAAAAAGACCACGAACAACCAACTGCTATCCAAAAATCCAGAGCCGCACACAGATTTGTGCAGTTTCGACTAACAAATTGGAAATTGGAAAATATATGAAAAGCAAAACCGAAATGCCGCTAAATTGGGCTCGAAATGTAATTGTATTTGCATTTGGGCTAAGCACAACTGTACTTGGGGTTACGTGTGCTGTGCAAATCCACGCAAAATTCCGAAATTCCAAAGGGGGGTGGGCTAAAATCGGACCGAGAGGGTTGAAGTGTGCTTAAATTCTCATTAGACGCATTAGTGGCGTTGACCAGCTGCCAGGTGAAAACCCCAACGCCCACTGCCACACCCACGCCCCCTTTTTGCACCTGACCAGGCCCGAAATTCAATAATAATAATTGATTGCTTATTACAAACGCACTGCATATGTGTCTCAAATTTATGGGGAAATTAAAGGGGAGGGTGGGAGGTATTTGCTAATATTTACGCATTAGTTATTTGCCGATTTGCCTCCCACCGAAATCCACCCTGTAAATTCCAAATGACCACTGCACCTGAAATCATCATTAAATTTTAATGTTTTCATTTCGGTTTTGTGCACGCAACAATTTTAATTATTAACTTTATAATTATGCAAAATCACGAATTACATTAGAATCACTTTGTTATGCCGATTTGGTCTACGGTCTCTTTGAACGAATTCGAGTGAATTGCGAGCTGATGTGGCACTTCTAATCAAGATCCAAATGAATTTCCCTCTCTCCTCGGAAACGCTGCCACAATTATTAAGCCCAGTGGAATTCGATAATCAACTGAAAGTGATAATAGCAATGCGGTGCTGGCAACTTTGAAATTTTTTAAGGCGATTTAAGATGCTCTTCAAATTGTTATAAAGCTGGAAATTAAAAGATCATTATGTACATTAATTTTTAAGTAAAATAATTAAATTATGGTACAAATGTAAATATTCGAAAATATAGGGAAATAATAATTTAATATTAAATTAAAACAAATGGTATTCGATTTACATACACTAAAAAGTAAAAACTGTTTATTTTAAAGTAATTTTTTTGTTTCGAATATAATTTGTATGTTGTTATATCAAGCAGAAAAAACCAAAAAAACACAAAGTATGATTTAATTTTTTTTGGAATTTTATCAACATATTTTCGCTTTTAAGTAATATATTTTTATGAGCACTGTATGACCTCTAGTGGGTGATTTCTTTGTCTACGAAATAATTCCTTGGGGAAAATTAATGAAAATACAGCTGGAATACAACGATAAGTAGTGTTTATAAGGCCAGCTCCCCTAATGGACCGACTTCAGTTGAACAAATTACGCGCAATGAGAAACCTCTTAGTTTTAAAGTTGATGCTTGTTTTCCTACTCGGAGATGTACTGGCGGACAAATCCCAGAGTTCCCAGAAAAGTGGCGTGCTGGAGTCCATTCAAACCAAAGTCCTGATCATCTCCAGCGTGGTTCTGATCACCTGCATTTGGCTGGGATGCGCCTACTTCATGGCCAATCGTCACCAGACGGCAGTTCAGTATCTGCAAAAGCAAGTCGACGAGCTGTGGCTGCTGCAGGCGAAGCCCTCCGTCTGGCCCCATGCCCCCTTCATCCCTAGTCCCCGGGAGCCGAATCCGCAGGAGTACATTCCGCCAAAGGATCCGCAGGAGCAGGAACAGGAGGCCATTGAGGCGGAGGAAAGTGCCGAAAAGGCCAAGGCAATAATGGAGGCCAGAAACAATTAAAAAGAGTGAGATGAAATGTGAACTGATAAATAATTTCATTTACTAATAGAATTTTTTTAAAACAAATTATTGTGTCCCAAAAATGTATACTTTGGAAAACAAAATAAAAACAAAAATATTCAAATAAAATAACCTTATGTAAAAATATATACAAAATATATACCTATGTTAAACAACTTTACACTACCGTATATTTAAAGTGTCTATTTTTATTGTACACTTTGCTAAATACAATTTACTTTTGTAAATTAAATTAAATTAAATAAAGTAGATATTAAACCATACTTAACTGGTAATTTTTTGCAAGAACTTTTCTGTGGTGTTTTTATGTTGCTAAAGTTGTGTTTATTACTAAAAAATATTTTAAATGTAAAAAGAAAAATTTATTTTTAAAACTTTTTATTATACTTAAAAATGTCATTTACCTTGAAACATTTTTATTGTTTCTTAAAGCATTTTTTTTTAAATATGTACTGTTTTCCGATATAAATGGATTTCTTAAGTAGGCCCTGAGTTTTGGCTAAAATTTAGTGTGTATCTTGAAATTTGACTTAAGTTTAAAGAATGACTTGCGGGTTGTGAGTTGCACGCAGCGCAGGAGTGCAATATGTTGGCCTATCTTTTGTCCCTGGGCTGGCTCTTGGCCCAGCTCATCCTTCCACCCGCAATGGGCTTGTCGGAGCAGTACGAGTCGGTCAACTGCTCCAATCCCTTCACCGAACTGACCTCCTGCGGCCGCATCAGTCCGAACGGATGCTGTGCCAAGGGATGTGTGAGGAATCTCCGCGGAAGATGTGTCCCCGAGAAGTGCACTACGTCGTGGAATGTCTGGCTCCGGAAACCGGTAACTATGAGTTGCTATTTCCACTGGTTCCTAGTGATCTTCGCCGGAGTCATCACCGCCGTGATGATGGGCCTCGTGGTATGCAATGTGGGTTTTGAAATAAGGCGCCACCTTCGCCAGCGAAGAATCCAGCGGTTCAGGCGCTTCAGGGACTTGAGTGGAGTCTCCATCGGATCCACTCAGTGCTAGGACACGTGTGCGCAGCCAGGAACTTAAGTATATGGGGCTGGGACTGGGACAGGGACAGGAAGTGCCCGAGGGATTTACCATAATCTGCAATACATTAGCGGCAGCTTTGCTCTGGATTCCAATTCAATTCTTTGGGTATCTTAGGCCAAAGCCATGTAAATTACGATTCGCCACCTCGGAAATCCTATTAGTAGTTAAAACCTGATTAGGAAATACTTGCGGCTGGCTTGGGTTCACATTCGACATCGGCATTGGCATTGGAAACTCGGGTTCGTTGAAAGCAAATAATAATAAATGGCTCACATGCGAAATGCTTTGTGGTTGCCCTCCAGGGTGACAGCTCCAGTCGAAGGTGGAGTTTGGCATTCAGATGGCGATGGAGTCGAGTCAAAGGTGCAATAACCCAACCGAACGGGCCACATAAAACTAAATGGCTGCTGGTTGCGTTGCGCTGGCACTCCCCAAACCGCCACAGAAACCCCATCTACGAACCCTTCGAATTCAGTAGCTATTGCGGTGAAGATAACACCCATAAGGGTATACTCGAGGTTAGACAGTGAGCAGCTTAGCTGAAATTATATAAGAAAATATATTTGTACCAAAGTTTACTTCAGTTATAAATTCAATAGTTTAATAAAGCTATAAAACTAATAAACTATGATTTGTATTGCTTCCGATTTTTTTCTTTAAAATATATCTTAAATTATTTTCAATTCTAATTATTATACTTTTTACAGAGAGGTTTCAATCTGTTGGCAGTGTATTTTGTAATCTTTTGCTAAGATTTCCAGCATCAATTTTCCTTTTCAAAGAGTATATTCTGTAAATGATATTGAAGTTTTTTTGTATAACCCCTGCTGTATTTATATGTGCAGATATAAATGTATATATTTTTAGTATAACAAAAAGTTAGTCAGGCATGCAGCCAAAGCTAAACGCGCTGCCAACCGCGCAGAAAATGAAATGGAAAATATTACTGGGAGCTGGGAAAAGGGAAAATAAAAAGGAAATAAACGAGCCAAAAAGGAAAAGCTTTGCGAAAAGGTTGCCCCCATCCACACACACATATGTGTGTGTGTGGGGTCCTGGGTAGCAGATTTAGAGGTTGCTTATGTGTGATTTAGTACAGCATGCGCGAATATGGCGGCGATAATTCTTTAAAAATTGGAAATTGTTTTCCAATCGATTTCGCATTTAGCCAAAAAGCACTCAACACAAAGACACACAGAGCTGGGCAAAAAAAAGGTGGGGTTTGGGTTGAGGAGGGCAGACGAGTGTCTTTTATAAACTTGTGTAGTTGGTGACTCACACACAAATGTAGGGCCAACACACAGATACCACCACTCACCCACACGAGTGTGTATTTATATTTTATAAAAATGTATGAAAAATACAATATTTCGTTATTTTTCACCTGGCTGCAGCTTTGAAAAGGATTTGGCAGCTGAAATCATGGATTTGGATTTGGCTTTGGCATTGGCTTTCTGTGTAGTTTGTTTATTTCCCTGGCTTGTCAAGTGAAAAGCGTTTGAACGAATTTCATGGCAGGGGAAAAACGAAAGAGGTTTTCTGTCCAAAAGTTCAGGTGCAATTAAATTTGATCACTTGTAAAGAAACTAAGATTACAAAACCAAACATAAAACGGTAGGAAAATGATAGCATAGTTTAAATTTGGTTCTGTTGATAAGGTGTATGGTTTTTTAGAACCGGCTTAACGAACTTTAATAAAACCGGTTCATTGTAATCAAAATAAATAAACCAATACCAAATTAGAGGTAGCTCTTTTAAGAAATTAACAAAACAAAGATTATATGTAAATTTAAGTGCTTTTTAAATTTATTTAATTTTTTCTGTAGTTTTTCAAAAGCTACGAGCGCTAAAAATTAAGTGAAACCTTGTCAACATGATAATTATAACATTTTTTTCTAGTGCACAAAGTAGAACCAGTGCTGGCTGACTTCTTTTAACCACATCAACCACCTATCCTCATTTACCCAAGTTTATATAAAAGCGATTCTCATTTCTTGATGCTCGTAAGCAACCAAAACATTTGCTTTCATTGTGTGAGTCCTGTACAAAGGACTACAATGGGCACAAAAGGTTAGATACACACACATAGCAGGGGGCGTGTTTCGGTTTTTTTGGGGTGGACCCAAAGGCGCAAGAAGCGGAGTGGGCGATTCGTGACATATTTTATTTGCACAATGACAATACGAGTTACTCGACAGGCTGAGAGGGGGGCTTGGAGGAGGGTGAAGGACACCCGCAACCCGCCATTACGCAAACACACCCCCTTTTCCTTTTCCTGTTCCTGTTCCTTACCACCCACACCAGCCCACAATTACAGTTACAGTTGGGAAAAGGAAAACTGGGGAGAGGAAAACAGAGGCAGTAGCGCACAAAGTAGTAAAATAAGTGCAAAGGATAATGCGAATTGAAATGACAAAACCCGGAATAATCATTGGCTCCACACTCTCAAAGATACAACCCACCAAGGACGAGGGGGTGGGATTCTCGCGGGGATGAGGGGAAGCCCGAATGGGGTACACAGATAAAGGGCAAACCTTTTAGCGTTTTGCCGCCGGCTTTCGCACACAACTTCTTGCCCATTTTATCAACACCAAGACTGCTCTATAAAAAGTTAGTATCGCAGATAAAACAAAAGTTAAGATTCGCGGCAAAGTATATTAAATGAGAATTAAGTACAGGGTTTTAGAAAACCGAAAAGGCGTTTATACTGACTATGCCAGGTTCTTGATTTTTATTAACACAATTTAAGTGGCATATCAAAAAACTGCCAGATCAATCGCAACTTATTCATTTATAGTAAAATTGTTTCTTAATTTATTTTAAATACCATTTCAAATGTTTTACTTTTAAATAAAACTATAAATATTACATTTTAAATGCAATATATAACTGCCAGATTAAACTTAACTTTTATAACTTATTAACTTTAATGATTACCTTTTTTTATATAAGTATTTACTGATAGTAAAATTAGTAAAGTTATGCTTATTTTTAAATGTTACTTAAAGTTTACAGGCTAAGAAATAACTTTTAGAAAGAAGAATAGCCCACCATTAAAAAGCCTCTGGTCCCACGCTCTCCGGTTTTCTTTATGCCTTTTAAGTAAATTAAAATTTACTCATTTTGTTGCCAAGTCCAAAGCCCCCACACACTGGCATCAAATCGTGCGCATGACAATATTGTCAATTTTATTTGCCGCCATTTTTATTGCAATCTAACTGCGCTGTCCCCTTCTGTTTTAGGACTATCCTATAATTTTCAGCTCCTTGGGCTCCATCTATTCCTTCTATTCCCGGGCCTCGGGCCTCGTAAAATATTTTTATGGATTTTTTATTTACCCGGGGCTGCCATGCATGACCCCAATATGAGACGGTGGCCAGAGGTCGGGGCTTGAGAATGCGGGGAAGCCACTGCAATTGGTGGGGCTGCTCCTTTTGGCCTGCTTTTAATGTGCGCCATTTTATTTGCCACAAAACCGACACACGGCACCATTAAAAAGCCATAAGCGTTGAGCCTTCTGCCTCCGTTTTCCCGCTTTTCCTCCTTTTTCTTTTTGGGCCGGACTCGCGCTTAGACGTTATTAGAATTCTCCCCACTTTTGACCAACCAACCACCCACTTTGTTGACCTTCTTTTTGTTAGCCATAAACCGGGGAAACATTTTGATTACAATTTTTATGATTTTTAGGTCAAAATTTGGCATCATAAAATGGCCAACAAGTAAATTTGAAATGAATAAATAAAGGCCAGTCAAATATGAGTTGTGTTTTATGGGCATCATTTTGTTGTTGGTCATAAATTGGGGGGCCAGCAGATGGGACTTTATCTTCGTTTCTGGGGTTTGTTTATTGGTAGACACTCACACTGACACTGGCAATTATTCAGTTTTACCCAGTTAATATTTCAGCTTCTTTTAATGAGGCCCAAAGCTGCTGCAGTGGAATTGAAATTTAAATTGTCGGCGACTCATTAAGCCGAAAACCCTTTGTCTAAGCAGGTGCCATAGATCCTTCAGATTTACGGAAAAGAAGAACAAGCACTGACATATGGCCCAGTGAAAGTCAGTTAATGGGGATAACTCGGGGGCTGGATGGGGTAAATCCGAACCCAAACTGTGCCTGGCAGATAAGAGCGTCGAAGATTTATTGCCAACGCAATGAGTTAAGAAAGACAAGTACCTAAGGGAAAAATACAGCAGCCAAGATGGTGACGATGATGATGATGACGACGATGACGATGATTACGATGACGAGTTTGTATGTTGCAAACAAAGAAGCGGGGCAGCAGCAATAATAATGATGAAGCTGCCGCATACTGACAAAGTAAATGATGGGGAATCAGCCAAGTGCCGGGGTCCCAACTAGAAGAAGGCCAACTTGCCTGGTTGCTCGACTGGTTCTCCGATTGTCTCTATATCTCTATACATGGAGTGGCTGGGGATGTGGGATCCAACGGGGTGGCACAGGCAAATAATGGCTGACAGCATGCGTCGTGTCTTAAGACAGTTTCAAGATGGCGCTTCTTTCGCGCAAGATATCGAACAAGTCGCAGAGACCCTAGAGTCGCGAAAAGGTTTTGCAATGAAACGGGGATAAGTATACACAACAAGAAAAAGTAGCCTTAAAAAAAAAAACAAAACAAAAACTAAAAGTATTAACCACATATTTGGCATATCCTTCCGTTATTATAACTCCTATAAATCACTCTTAGCTTGTGTTTTTAACTGTAAAACATTATAAATCATAATAATAATAATAATTTGTATATAATTTATTTATCTTTAAAATCTTGACCAAAAATGTAATGTTCAGATTAGAACAAAAAAAAACAAAAAAAATATTTGGCAAAATATGAAATTTAAACAGCTGGAAACCTACTTTTATTTTGATGACAGGTCTTAAACTTATTTTCAACTAAAGCGCAAAAAAAAACAAGCACAGCAATATTTCAAAAATGATATTTCAAATATGAGTGTCCTTAATACCCGTTTTCTTATTCTGTTATATTTAATACAATTACCCAATTTACAAGCTATTTTTTATTTCAAATAAAAATTGCTTAAATATAATTCAACTGTCATCTTATTTCGTTTCTGCTCCCATTTTAAAACGAAAACGTTTTCTTAAGTTTGGAGTATGGTAATTTAAATTTTATATATCATTTTAATTCATTTAATTTAAGAATCCTTTCCTGACTCGCACTGTTATCGCAGTGCTTCCCCCGCCATATATGGGAATTTGATTTTAATTGCGGCTCATCCATTATGCGGTCTGTTCTGTCTGCTCTGCCTGGTTGAAGGCCTGAGCTTGATTAACAATAATTAGGCCCGGCATTAATTACGCCGAAAAGTTAATTACGCGAGTGTGTGCCGATACAAAGACATAGCGCAGTGAACTCCCCGCAAACTCTTAAATTCGCAAAACATCTTCCAACTTCGAGCCGAAATTGAATGGCAGCACGGAATGGCGACAATAATAGAGTTCCTAAAACAGCTGGAGCGCAACTTATTAACCCTTTGACTCCCCAGCAGGGCGAAATCCACCCACGCACCCAGTGACGATGACGACCAACGACGACGACGACGGAGGTGGCAATAAAATCAATCTTA